TCGTTATTAACATTATTTAATTTGTTTACTTTGCTTTGCTTCAATGGCGATAAACCAGGAAAATGAGGGAAAATGGAAGGAAAGCCCGGTCAGAATGGGAAAAGCGAAAGTTGCGGCCAGCGAAGCGTTGCGAGTGCTCAAAATTCTGTTGACCGAAGCGGTTTTTGTGGCTCAATTGATTCAAGGATTTGTTTGCCTTGGCCCATGTTTTTGTGTTTTTAGTCCTGGTTCCTGTTATTATGTGAAGGGTTCCGTTGATTGCATTGGTGAGTGCTGCTCTCGATTATGTTTTCAGCAAAACTCTCGTCATTATCGCCTGCCTTACTTTTAATATTCAATGCCATCTACGAGCACTTAGCTAGGACCTTCAACTCCAGTTGTTGGGATTTGGACGCACTTCTCTTGCGCAAAAGACGCACCATAAATGATACCAAGTACTTGAACTAGTCTGCACATTTTTGTACGCAAAGTTGTGACTCTAGCTCTTCTGATTCTTGAGATTTTCTCGAAAACAGGATATCGATTCAATATTTATCGATTCCTTGAAAACAGGACAGGTTATCGACTATCGGAAACAAACTCAAACTGAAAGGACACCAAGAGTTCCGTCATTCAAAATTATCTAGCTCTTAGGAGCTCTCAGATCGAATATGCTACCTTCTGCCTGCTACATACATTTACAGAACACCTTCATACCCTTTTCACTACAGTTCAGGGTATAAAAATACTCTCTCATAGCTACATTTGCAGTAACTAATCATTTAAAGTATCTGCTTATCTTATCTAATAGTGGTTTGAATTTTGTGATTAGTCGATTGCTTCGATCATGTTGCAAAACAAACTATTGTAAACAAAATATATTTTTTATTTCGATGTAAAGCGAAACTGGGAACGCGACTTTAGTTCGTTTTGGAAATTTTGCATGAACTATTTCAGTGCTTCCACTTGCCCCTCTCCAGCAGCCCGCCACCCTTTCAAGACCCTTTGACTTCGGCACGTTCCCGCTTTGATTCCTCCCACTGATTATCGCCAATCGACAGACACAACCCTTGGCCACTTTGTCTAACTCTTCCACATCTTGCACATCTTCTGCTTCTTCTTACACTGTCTACTTTGTAGTGGGCAGAGAAAGGGCTGAAATGGGGCGTGGAGGGGCTGTGCGTCTGTGCGCTGTCTCGCCGCCTGTCGATTCCCATTTCCATTGAGCTGGGTTGCCTTCGCCTATGTCCAACTTTCGTTTGGGGCTTTTCATTTTGTTTGCTGCGGAAATCGCTAAATGCTGCTTCCGTTTCGTCCGTGTGTTTGTGTGTGTGTGTACGTTTGAGTGTGTGCCAGGCGGGGTGTCCAACTTTCACCTGGACGAGTGTGATTTATGCGTTGCCTGATTTGATTCGAATTGATTTTGCTGCTCATGAGTTGGAAAATTTCAGTCAGATATACTGTATTCTGTCTCTACTTCCTCATCCCCCAACAATCCTGACCAAGATTGTCAGCTGAAGAAAAACTAGCATTTTACTTTTTGTTTAATTTTCAGTTTCAGTTTCAGTTGCTGTTTTTGTTTCCGTTTCGGTTGTGTATTTTGTTCCTCGACTTTGGTTTTCGCTTTTCTTTGGGCGCGCAATAAAACTTGAAATTCAAGTTGAGAGCCGCAAATGCTCGTAATAGCCGCAAAGTATGCAATAACAAAAAAACATTGTTTGCCATAAACTTGGGCACAAAGTACACGCGCCTGGCAGCCCTCGCAGCCCTTAGGAAAACCCTTGCCCAGCAACTGCCCAACAATCTTGACCAGACAAAGTTGTTTTCCTCTTTTAGTTTGCATGCCCTGTAGCGCAAGCAAATCGTATGGGGTATAAAATATGTTCTACAAGTGCTAGCGACGGATTGAAGCAGAAAACTCTGTACAGGCTTTTTACTGGCTCATTTAGATGACTCCGTATGATGCCAGAGACTATAGGTTCTAGGGTCAGGAAAATTGGTTCATAGATGTTCCCATACCATAAGTATATATATTTAATAAATGAATCTTTGATATCTTTCTATGCATTCAGCATATAGCATATAGAATTTATATAGAAAACAACGCATTATTATTGTAAATCTTAACTCGGAAAAAATTGTACAAATATTTTAGAAGATTGACACGCTTGCAGGGTATCTGCTAGTCGCACACTCTACTCACAAGCATTTGCATTTGTTTCTTTGCTCTGCTTAACCTCAAACCCAGCCACAAGCTCATGTTTAGCCGCGTAGCTCTGGTAACGACTTTAACGCCGACGACAGTTTTGGGTGCGTTGCAAAAACTTGTAGCATACGCTGCGGCGCAGCGAGTCCCCCTTTCTCCACACTGCTTATATGGCATGATTCCAATCAAAAGGGGAGACAAGGGCTCAGGAAGTTTATGGATGAAAAAAACGTAAGTCTCAGACGAAAGTAAAAACACCGTTTCGACAGGCCACAGTCAAAACTTTTTTGATTATCTTAATTGCGATTACGGGACACCGACCTTACCCGCCCCACCCCCAAGCGCCGCCCATGCGCCACATGCGTGGGTAACCCCGAGCAGCAGTCGGACCAACGGACGGCCGGACAGACAGACACTCGGCGAGTTTTATAAGTAGATAGAGTAGCTGGGATTGATAGCATAGATGGAGCCGCAGCTCTTGGCTGCGCTGGCTTGGAAACCCCAAAACGCAGAAGTACTGAAATTAGGCAGACAATTCTAGACGTTGTCTACCCCTCCCTCTCCACATCCCGCACTGCGCAAGTCGAAATTAACAAGATTGACCCGCGTCCCCCTTTGAATGGAGTCAAACCAAAAAAAAACTACGGCTAAGCAATGAAAGAAATTGGGCTATCGAAAAGCTGCACAAGAGCTGGAGCAACTTCTGTGGCAGGGCAAGTGGCCGCATGAAAGTTGGGTATGCTATGCTAGCCGAGAAAATGTAACCGCAAGAAACTGGTACAGATTTCTGTACATGAAAGGAGGCAAATTTGATTATTAATTAGGATAAAATCAAGGCAAGGCAGAATCTTTTTTGGAAACCAAGCGAAAGTATATCGAACACTAAAAGGAATATCATACACCCGGCAAATATGTGCATTAAAAATTTTACGGACAAAAAGGCCCCACCTCCATCTTTTATAGGATACCCATAAGTCGATCAGTTGTGGCCAGTTCATATACGTATTTTTCGACTTATAGACTGTGTCTGTTGTGCATTTGCTTGTCGGCTTCCGCTGTCCGGTGTCTGGGGGCTTCAAAGTTTGTCCAAAGTTTCGTGCGGCAGTTGTCTTGGAATGACGAACTATCCCTCCCTTCGTTTGCGAAACCCACCGCTCCCCCTTATAGCACAGCTCACTACATGCCACCCCCAGAAGACAACACAATTGGAAAATAATCATAGTTTGGCGAAAAATTCTGATTGTATTGGGGACTGCAAACAGCCGCTTGGGGCGAATCGAGAAACTGCGGCGCTCTAGGGCCATTGCAGCTGATCTAGTTACAATGAGAGAAAATAAGCTCCAGGCCTCGGCACCCTTCGCTGGTCGTACAACTGTTCTTTAATTGTGGGCCATAAAAACACATAATGGACCTTATTGATTTTTCAGCTGAGACATTAAATTGGGCACGCTTATTGCACAGCCTGAGCTATAAAATATTGCTTATAGATTGAAGAGATTTAAGTATATTTTTATTAGTTGCATTACATTAATATTATTCTTTAGGTGTTTTTATTGGCAAAACGAGACGCGGGAAACCAATTTCTGCCTATCCCTCGTTGCCCTTTCCAAGGCACTTAGCTCTCTTTCTCTCTCCACCTCGCTCTCGTGAGAATGCATTCAATTTTCATGTTCTTTTTGTGCTACAAAATCTTAAACGTTTTGCTCACGACGTAGAATTACTTTGAATAGATTTAAAGAAAAGCCTACTTACATAAAGTTTTTAAATGAAAAATGAACTTATATATAATACCATATCTTGGGTCTGATACGGATATATTTTTTACTGCCTGTTGATAACATTTCGAAGCACAACATTGAAAAGAATCTTAGAAAAGAAGCGCTAAAAAGCGACACAGTTTGGATATTTAAATTTTTCAGGGGTTTGCGACAGAGCATAAGCTCAGGTCCTTAATTCTAGTTGAAACTACCGTGGACGATATTCTCTTATCTAAGGTAAGCACCATTAAATAAAGTAGAGATCAAGTTATTTATACCAAGAGTTTGATCCCAATCGGTTTAAACCAAACCAGTTTCAATAAGAACCGGACAGAACCGTCAACTAAAACAAAGCTTATTTGGTTGTTAAGCTCAACAAATGTTCTCTTAAAGCAATATATTTTTATATTATCGTAATTAAGGTTCGAGCCCCCATCTTATTGTGCACACTTATCGATAACAGAGTATTCGATGACAGCTGCAGGGTTGCCACCTGACAGTAAGAAGTGCATTCCTGAGTCGCTACTCATTCCCCATATCCTTTTGACAGCTCATATGATGCGAGTATTTTTTGTCGTTATCTGCCCTTTACGACAGGATAAACCACTTTGCAGCACTGCAAGATGGCTTGGTGCCACAGGGCAAGGAAAGCGGCACGGCCAGGGACAAGGCCAGAGTCTGAGCAGGGGCAGGGGTACTTTATGCAAATAATGGGCACAATGTGTCATTGCCGCCGCTGACAACTTTGATGAAGCGACGCACTGACAGAACCGATGCAGATGATTCTCCAGGATTGGGTATGCAAGTGGGCTGTGGGTGAGAACGTGGGTGTCGGCGTTCAGTGATGGATCAGGCTTGACGGCGGACTGTGGACGGGGGACGGGCGCCGAGCGCGCTTGCTGACATAAAATGTGTAAAATATTGGCTGTCTACCCAAGGGGAGGAGGGGCAAGGCGAGCTGGTTCAACGAAACCTGGGAATTCAATTTATATGCAAATGCTATGCAGGCGACAAGACAAATATCAAATAGTATGCTCCTCTCTCCACACACACGTAAGTATTTTCATAAAATTTATTAAAAAAATAGAAAGTATATGTAATTATGCAACATGCGAGGCCCACTCTCTATGCACAGCCCCACTCTCCACGCCATCCACTCTATGTAAAGTAGCGTACCCCCTCCTCGAAGTCCTCGCGCACATCGTACGCAGTGGGCGCATGGTCGTAGCCAGTATTTGGTTGGCAGTTGCAGGGGGGTTTCTTGTCTTTTAGCTTTTTGGGCAACTGCACCAACACCTCCTCCTCCTCTTGCTCCTCCTCTTCCTGGTAGTGCTCCTCGGACTCTGGCACATAGCTGGCTTTCGTGGTGTACTCGTGTTGGTTGTAGCATTCGGTGGTTGTCCTCAACTTTAGTTTCTTGCCCTTTTTGCCACTCTTCTTATGCAGCTTATCTTCGAGTTTCTCCAGTTCCTTTTCTTTTTTCGCTTCGAATAGGCTGATTTCCTTGAGCTTCTTGTCTTCAAACCACTGCTTGATCTTCTCCCACTCGTTCTCCTTTTTCTCATCTTTGGCGGCGAACAGATTGAGGAAATCGAGCTTCTTTAGCGCTTCCTTGTGCTCCTTTTCGTCCAGTTTCTCCGTCAGCTCCTCCAGTTTGGGCAGCTTCAGCAGCCAGGCGTGTGACAGCTGCAGGGCTGCCAATGAGAGTTTGAGCACCACACTGGTATAACTATCACTGAAATAACCACTTACCCATCACGGCGATCAGCAGCAGCGCCAATTGTTGCCTCAATATGCTTGCCATGTTGTTGCTTGTGGTAACTGCCAATGGTTTCTGTGCCTACACCGCTGTCCCGCCAGTTGCTTTTAAGCCAAAATGTCAAAATGCTTGACCAGAGAGTCGCGACCAGAGCTGGCGGAGCACGTGCTGCTCTCCAGCTGATAAGCACGTGTTCATTTGTTGTCTGTCTTTGCTGACAGCGTCCAATCACACTTGGCTCTTGGCATGTGCGCACTCGGCTTATTGATAAGTTAAGCCCAATACCCCGGGCCCCACACGCACCTTGCTCTCCTTCTACGCTTACCACACAGTTCAATGCACTGTGGTGCGGCAACCACCCACCACCCATTTGACTGTCAGTTTTGATTAGTTTCTGAATCAACATATATTCTTTGTGTCGCTTGCAATAATTTTTGGCGAGAAAAACAATAAGACGGGGTGTGCGATGAGAATTGGTTGCAAGGGGGCAACTTTAATTGAATGCGTTGGTAGTAGGCATTGGGTAGGTCGCGGGGGGGTTGGCAAACTGGACAGCGGCTTCGCTAATTGACTTGGCTGCTGGCCCTTGTCAGCAGGGCTAGAGGAGCGGAGTGAGGAGTGCGGCATAGGAGCAGGCTGGGTTGGGGCAGGGGCAGCTGTTGATGTGTTGAAAGTGGAAGTTAAATTGTATTTATTTAGTGCGCCGGGCATAGAGGGCGGGGCAAACGTGCGCCAGCTGCTGCCTGCAACTCGAACTTCGAGCAAATATATGCGCCACATGTGGCAGCCTCACGTGTGTGCAGCAGTATGTGTGCGTGCGTGCATGTGTGTGTGTGTGTGAATAAGTGTGTGTATGTGTGTGGTGCTTGGTATATAGTAAATATATAAATATTTGTTGTTGGCTTGTTTTGTATGGCTATTTGTGCTGAGCAAACAATTTGTTAAATTAATTGCACGCCAACCGGTTGTTTGCCAGTGTGAGTATGTGTGTGTGTGTGTGTGTGTGTGAGATCTTGTTATTGCCAGCCATGTTGTTTTTGCCTAAACATAACACTGCATATCGAATGTGCACAACAAATTGAACAAATTGAGAATTTTTGCTTGTAAATCATGAACATTTTTAAACAAGTTTAGATTGTATGAAATTGACATAGCTTCAATATAGAAAAAGAGGCTTGTGCTTTGTTGCTGAATAGCTGAAAAAGAGTTTCCATAATGATGTTTTATTTTTTTCACATATATAAATATATGTGTATATAAAAGAAGGAGGTGGAATATATATATGGCATCTGGAAAGATGGCAAACACTATGAGATTGTCCTGGTAAAGAGCCTGCGAGAGAAAAGCAATAGCTATCTTTTATTATCTGGCAGTTTAATTTTAGTAGTTGGAAAATTTAGTAAAAATATCCTTTTATGTATGGTATATTCCAACCAGATAGGTTGGCCAACTAAGTCCTAATAGCTTATTATACTCCATAATGATAACTTTGGTGCAGGTCAGAGATGCAAGTAAATAATATAACCTAACCACAATACCCAAACCAACTTGGAGATAAAAAAATTACAGAGAATAAATTTGAATTGCATTACATCGTGTGGTAGGCACACATTCAGGTAGAAGATTGGAATGTATGTAATGGCAGCTTGGCGCTGAGTACAGAGTATCTGTTAGTCGAGCATACCTGACTCAATCATGCTTACTGGTTTCTTGTAGTTACTTTTTGGTGGCTGTTGTTCGCAGCTTGTCAATGACTTGTTTATTCGCTGTTCGCGAATTTAACAACTTTTGCTGATAGTTCAAAAGAATTCACTAAAGAGATATGAAAAAATATGTGAATATTATATTGTTTTTTTATGTCAGCTGTATAAAAAATAAAACAATTTTTTATATTTATAGTGACGATTCATAATTCCAGATTGTTTGGGCTCACTGAGTGCTGCGGCTTGCAAAACTACTGATCAATGCGCTGGTTGTCGATGTGGCCCAATCGCAGGGGTAGATCTGGCAGCGGCTCGAGCAGATCCACATCCTCCAAAATGCTGGCATCATCGTCGTCGATATTATTGTCGCCAAGCGTTGTTGTTCGTGGAGGTGGTGTTGTCGTCGTTGTTGTTGTTGTTGTTGTGGGTGTCGTTGTGGTCCGTCTACGCCTGCGGCCCTTGCGCCCCTTCCGTCCCTTCCGACCCTTCTTCTTCTCGGGCAGCTTCCCGATTATGTTCATGGCTGCCAGCTGACCAAAAACTGTGGGATAGGGTGCCATTGGGAAGGGCTCTAAGCTTGTTGTTGCTAAAACTTCGGTAGTTGTTGTTGCTGTTGTTGCTGGTATTGTTCCTATCGTGCTATTAACAACTGTTGCTGGCGTTGTCGTTGTGATTGCCGAGATGCTGCTGCTGTCAACGACTGTGGTTATGAGAGGTGCTGTTGGTGTTGTAGATGTTGATGTCGCCAATGCTGTTGTCATGGGCGTAGATATTGTGCTTGCTGCGGTTGTTGTCGATGTAGCTGTCACTGTTGTTGGTACTGTCGAGCTTGTTGAGGCTGTTGTCGTTGTTGTTGTTGATGTTAATGTTACTGCTGCAGTTGAGCTGCTTAAAACTGGTGATGCTGTTGTTGCTGCTAATGTCGTGCTACTTGTTGAGACTGCTGCCGCTGTTGTAGCTATTGCTGCTGTTGTTGTTGGGACCGTTGCTGCTGTTGTGCTAGTTACTGGTATTGTGCTGCGTGATGTTGTTGTTGCCACCGGTGTTGATGTTGCTGGTGTGCTGCTTGGTGTTGTTGCTGCCACCGTTGTTGCGGCCACCGTAGTTGATGGTGCTGCTGTGCTGCTTGATGTTGTTGCTGCCACAGTTGTTGATGTGGCTGGTGTGCTGCTTGATGTTGTTGCTGCCACCGTTGTTGCGGCCACCGTTGTTGCCGCCACTGTTGTTGATGTTGCTGCCACCGTTGTTGATGTTACTGGTGTGCTGCTTAATGTTGTTGCTGCCACCGTTGTTGATGTTACTGGTGTGCTGCTTGATGTTGTTGCTGCCACCGTTGTTGTCGCCACCGTTGTTGATGTTGCTGGTGTGCTCCTTAGTGTTGATGCTGCTAAAGTTGTTGATGTTGCTTCTGTTGTCGTTGATGTTGCTGTTGTCGGCTCAACAGCGGCAGCAGCAGCAGCAATTATTTCGCTAATATTGATTGTAATCGTTTCATTGAGCCGCGTCTCATTTGCCGACTGCAACGTGTTGTTCGAGCTGACAATTGTTGCTACGAACGTGGAGTTCTGTGCCGCACACATTTGGCAGCAGGCTGTAATGTAATGACAACAACAACAGTCGACAAAATTGTCAATAGTTAGTTGGAAAATCAATTAGAAGCCCAAAAGACGCGACCACAAACCACTGCCGGTCACATGGCACACTAATTACCTAATGTTGTTACCACAACGAGCGCAATTAAATGTCGACGTGATGTCAAAATTGGCAGCAGCATCGTGCGATTTGCTTTTGTTATTGCTGCTGTTGTCATCCTAGTCGTTCCTTAATTAGCCTCAGGAAGTTTACTGATGTTGTCGCCGCTGCTGATGTTGATATTGCTGCTGCTGTTGCTCTATAAATTTGGTTAATTGAACTGATTTGCCAAGTGCTCATCAGATGTATTTTTATATTGATGCGAACACACACTTCGCACGGAAACGTGTGGCCTGTACGTGAGCTTCACTATTTACTTATCATGTCTGCCAGATTATAATCAGCCACACACACGCTCATCAGCAGCAATTGTTGTTGTTGTCATATTTTGCCGGTGGCGTCTTTGATACCGGAAACATCACGACATCAACCACGTGTTGAGCTCACACCCAAGAGCTGACCACCGGAAGCCATGCAGACCATTTGTTACCAATTTGGTTCCATTTTTATTTGTTGTCGGTTTTTTTTGTGGGCGGGCGGCCGCCCTATCAACTGGGTCAGTTGTTGGTCAGGTGTTGGTCAACAGGCACGTAAACTTGGCCGGCAGCTGGTGCGATTGCTGTGATCATTTGAAATGCTAACAACGATAATTGCTGCATGCAAGAATTGCCTTTGAAAAACAAAGATTATTTTAATCTAACAAATGGAAAATCTTTTCTTTAAGCACGACGACCCACCGATGTCAGCAACGTCAGCTATTAAATTCGCTACTTGGATTTAATGCTGACACATAATGCCGTAAGCATGTTGTAATTGCCTTTTAAAATACAAGCACCAGTATACGATGACTATATACCCTGTAATCTTGCTCTTTGTTGAAATTAAAGTTCAAATCTATTTTAATAAATGCAAATATTTACAATCGTATACAAATAAAATCTCTTTGGCATTTGTAGGCAGCTTCATATCGAATAATCTGATTCTTATTTTGCTTGAGATCCATTATAAATATATTTAGGCTTCTTGTTGCTAAGTGGGGGTTGCTTCAAATTATGTGTTTATTTAACGTCTACGTCCAATATAGCCCATACATCAACTTGGTTGCAAGGTATACATTTTTCTACAATGAATACTTATGAACACAATTTACACGCATTTATCGGTGTCGACTGTTAAAATTTTAATTATTTAAAATAAACGTGACGGAAGGCGAAATGAAAATGCTGGAAGCACCCATGTAATTAAACGTGAAAAACGTAAAATAAACTACAGAATTACAAGCGAAGAGCCGTACAGGGTGCTACGTTAACAATATGACATTATAAGTATAAAACATGTGTCTGCTCATCAGAAATTAAAATGCACAAGTCAATTAGTAAGTAGTTGCTTGAGATAGGCGCAGCGGCAAAAGTAGAGAGACACTGTGCTAGTTCTGGGCTAATATCACGCTCTACGAGCTCGTTGTCAATGCTGAAATACGTGCTTACGCACTGATCTCAGCATTCCAGAGGTTTTCGTATAAAAGACCCCAGGTTGGGTAGTACAGCAAACAGTTCAAACTAACAACTCGTACAACATGTTCAACAAGACGTTCCTCGTGGCCCTCATGCTGTGCGGTATGTGAACTCAACTGAACTAGTTTAGGATAGTTAACTGAATCCAATACTTTAATTGCTTGCAGCCTGCTTCCTTGGCGCCACCTTCGCACGCCCACAATTGCAAGGTTTACCTGCAGGTCAGCTACTCGGAAATCCTGCTTCCCTTGCTACTGGTACCCTTGGCTCCGTTGGACAAACGGTCGGGGGAGCCGCTGGTAGCCTCACTGGCGGCCTGGCTGGTGGCGGCCTAGGTTCTTCTCTGGGCACTTCATTGGGAAAAGGTCTGGGAGTCTGAATGACAAAAGCACCAAACATGATCGAACGCGTCAATTCCTAATCCAAATACTTATAATATTAACTAAAACTTAATCTATTTAAATGTGTACACCTTTTGTTGTCTAATAAAACAAATTTGCATGCCTAAATGATGTGAGTTTTTACTTTTTGAGCTGTTCCCATTAACAAGACCAAAGAATGAGACACGAGCAAGAGGAGAAATGAGAAACTGTCTATTAATTCCAAGCTTAGGAATTGGGTTAAGGTACTTTTAAATAATATACAGGGAACGTTACAAAAGCTTATTATTTTATTCGTTTCTTCAGTTGGTTCCCATAGTAAGTTATAATGTTTACCAATTAAAGAAAGAATGAAAGATGACTTATTTTTTGAAGCTTCGGGAAATTAAAGCTGGCATAAGTTACTTTCATTTTAAATTGCTAAGTGAACTATAAGCCAGCTTAATGAATAAACTTTTTTTTCTTATTTTGGAGTCATATATGACTGAAATATTAGCCAAGCAGCTCTGAAAATTATTTTGAATCTTGTACTAAGAAATCGCCTTTAGTTTTATGATTATTTGAATGGTTCTTAGCAATTACCCAGTTGAACGTCTCACAACGTTATGCAACACTGCACAGTCCAATCGCTGTTCTACGTGCGTTGCATTACCATGTTCAGCACGTAGGGAGCTACCTTCTAAACCTATTTAGCGCTAGGCCCGTTTGGTTAATACCTTAGTAGTATTTTAACCCATCAAGAATGTTAAACAAATGGTCACTTTTTATTTTAGTGGTCAGCCGTAAGTGTTAGACAACATGCACAGAATTTGGATTACAATACAGTTGTTTTTGCAAATTTTCAGTGTTGGCGGCGTACGGCATGCCTCAAACGACAGAAAGGGCAGCAACAACAGGCACAACACGTCGCGAGCTGGTGAAAAGTTTTATGATCCAGGTGCAGGGACTAATAGCAAAGTTGATGAAGGAGTTGCAGCAGCTAAATGCAACAAATGACGGCAACATCAGTAACAGCAGCTAATGTAGGATCATACATCTAAGATTACATAACTTGACAAACTGTTAAAATAATAAAAACGCAATTGAAATCCCTCACTAGCTAGGAAAAATCTAGTTCAGTCGAGTTTAAGGCATTCTTAAAGTCCAAACTCGTCTTTGATTGATGCTCCCTGCCAAGGGTCAAAGGTCAAGACATCCCCTGCACAGGGCAACAATTTGCCGAAACGACACAACGAAACACAACGCAACACAACTTGGCTGCCATTTATCAAAAGCCATTTCCCAATTGTAAGAGTATACAAGTGGATACACATGTTAACAAGCAGCTCGTAGGGGCGCCCGAAGGTTTAAGCAGTGTGCGGGTTGCGGGTTCCAAAGATGGAGCCAGGCTGAGCTTTAGGCAAAATGCAAATGCCAAAAATTATACCTACCAAAGGCGAGCGCAAAAGTAAACAGCTAAAAAAAAGCAAACAAACGCCAGTGGAACAATTAAGCTAACAGCTGGTAGGATATTCAATACACTTTCAAGTTGAAAAATAAATAAAATATACCCCACCCTCTCCCTCAATTCTCGAATTCTTGGTAAGTGATTATATTTCACTTACCAAAAAAGAAAAATAAAAAATATTAAATTTTAATCACCATATTTAAAACTATTTATGCTGATTGATTGTCTGACTGATTGATTGATTGCTGCTTCATGTCTAGTCCAACCCATAAAGGCCTTACAGCCGAGTTGTTTACATCTAACACTTCTCTGGAAAACAGTTTTTAATTTAATTACATTCTCCATTTCTTTTTTCCAAATGCAATGTTATTTGGAATATATAACAAGCAAAATATAATATGCCTATGAATTTGTAAAATCGAATCAACGAATCGAACCGAACCGAACCGAGCCGAACCTCAAAGCTGAGATGTGGTTCGAGACCAAAGGAAAATTTTCATATGGACTTGCAGCTCCAGACCTGAGCGAGAAAATATTAAAATTATGTACAGAATATAAAAGAAGGCAAGTGTTGTAAATAACCCAAGTTAGAGTATACAAATGTGCCAAGAAAATCTTAACGAAATTTCTCACGTTTGCCATAATTACGAGCAAAATACGTGACATGTGTTTTGACTGTGAATTTTAGCTGTGACTCGCAGCAGCAGCAGCAGCTTGCCCCTGCCCCTACTCTTGCCCATGCCTCGATCCCAACCCCAACCCCAACCCCAACCCCAGCACCAGCCCCCAGCACCAGCCCCACTCTGCCACCCTTAGCCGAGAGCTCGATTTCTGTTACCCGTTTGCCGTTGACCAGCTTGTTGCCGTGTTAAGCATAGGCTGGAGCGTCGAGTTGTAAATGGGTAATACGAACTCGTATACATAACCAAACAAAAAAAAAAAAAATCTGTGCAGGCCAGAAATATGCGAGGGGTTGGCGGCTTGAATCGTGGCGATTGTGCGAGTAATTCATAAAAATCTCTTGAGCAAATGTTTGCGACATGAACAACCGGTTCCAGAATCAGTTCCAATTTCATGGGCCCATTTTTAGTGGTTTCTTCATAATTTATAATGCTTTAAAGCCGAACCGCAGAGCGTTGCCGACAACCCCCGAACGCGACTTCAAGACGGAAAAGTGGCCGAGATGAGGACTGAAAGTCCCAGAGCGTTGCGTGATTGAATTGCTGCCTGATTGACAGTTGACAGTTGAAATTGATTTTGGTGGTGCGCTGCGCCGCTCGGTGGTTGCGACAATGCTGAGCCGGCGACTGAGGCTGGAGTTTATTAATCCCCCGAGTGCAGGCGTGCATAAGTATCGGGCAAATGGATTAGACTCTTTTATGTGAAATGTAACGCAAAGTTGCCCCACGAAAAGGATTTCGGATGAAGGGGCTCTTCGATTGCCCAACTATTTAATTAAGGTTGATCTTTACCTAACTACAGTTTGTCCAATGCTGAGAGCTAGCATATGTCCCACATTTTCCCACTCCCCACTCCCTCTCTCGCTCTACCCATTGTTTGCCATATTTGTGTGACAGTTAATGAACGTCTGGAAGCTCTTTGTTGTCGCTAATCAAAGGATAAGAGCCGAACGCCATGTGCGCTGCATAGCCAATGTCCTTTCGATAACAGCAGCAACAGCTGGACAGGCGTGGCATGGAAGGGGTTGAATTGGAAGGTTTCTTGCAGCATTGCAGTCAACTAATTGATGGATGATTCACATCATTTAAATACGCAGCAGCTTGAGTTATTGAACGACTTCGCTGCTAACTGACCGATCCCTATGACATTGCTGGGCCCTTTAATATAACATACAAAAAATGTGTGTATACAAAAGCATTGCGGGAAAAATGATATTTTTTTTAGTATCAGGTATTTAATAATGCAAAATCCTGCCATAGGTAAACTTGGTGTATTAGAGAAGCTTTCATGGGACCTAGCAGCTCTGAAACCAAGGCGAAAAATTCATTAAGCACCCCAGCGGCAAGTTGGCTATCTACTTAGTTCCTTAAAGGAAAGTTGCTTTGTATAGAAATATGTCTATTTTGCTAGATATCTTCACTTGCTCAGTTATTAAGCATTTCGCTAATCCTCTCACCTATCTGCATGCTTATAGGCCACAATTCCCGAAGGTTATTTAATCTTCAACGTGTCAAAGATATCCGTTCCTATTGTTTTTATATCTGATGGCCATTTAAATATTTTCCATGTGTTTATACAGTCCAACATGAAGGTATTTCACTGCTGGGCTCACTCTCAAGCTGCTAAACTAGTAATGCCACCTAAAAATGATTGTGACACATTTTTGGGCATAAAAATATTTGCCGTAGCCTGCGGGAAATGGAGATCAATCAGATTGCCAAACATTTCGGTGAGTACTAAAAAAGGTTAGCTAGCTTTCAACAATTTACCAGGACAATAACAACAGGAGCGTCAGAGGGGTAGTCAAGGGTGTGAAGAGGTGGTGTTAAGGGGCGGATAGGTCGCAGAGCAAAAGCTTAGTCTCAGGGCAGAAACCCAGTGAAGAGTTCAATATGAAAGAATTGATTGCTTTGACAAATCTGGGAACCTTGTAATTTCATTACAAAACCGTAGCACAAGATTACCACAAAAACGGCACACCGAGAGTGAGAGAGAGAGAGAGAAAGAGGGAGAGAGAGAGAGAGAGAGAGAGAAAGAGCGAGAGAGAGGTAGATGAAAATGAAACTGCTCAATTCCCCAATGTGAAAGTAATAGACCATACCAACAAAGGCAACAACAACAGCCCGGAGCTCCAAAAACAGGCGGCTGAAGTAGCTGTCTGGCAGTTGGCACAAAGCGAGCAGCTTTCAAGATGCTTTGTGTGTGCGGATGGATGTGTGTGTGTGTGCGTGGGTATGTGTGTGTGGGTGTGTGTGTGTGTGTATGGAAAATTAAATTCAATTGTGTGACAAGTTAATCCTATTTCTCATCTCCCAACTTTTATTTAAGCTTCATTCTTTATGCATTACATGCGACCGAGACATAGAACAAAATTCAGACAGACTGCGAGTCAGGCAGTCAATCAATCAGTCAACCAGTCAGTCAGTCAGTCAGCCAGTCACTCACATAGTCAGTTGGATGCTGTCAGAATTGTTTGATATGTTGCCAGCCGCACAAGACCGCCCTCGCTCCTTGGGCAGCCACTGGCTGTCAAGGCGAAAAGTGAAAGCGAAGCGAAGGGTTGCCACTCAGTTGGGCTGCCCGGGTTATCTTAGGGGTTGGGTATGGGGCTGGGAATGGGAATAGGAATGGGCTGGCAACACTTCATTAAACTCATAAAGCAATAAAATGTGCTCTTGATGAACGAAACAAAAGCATCGGCACTGCCTGCCACAATCCACATCGTGCTCAATCCAATTCAACCAAATTCACCCGTTTCCCACCCACAGACGCGCCTTCAATTGTCTGACAGCTCGACACTGTCTGCTAATGGCAACTGCAGAGCTGTCGAGTATTCCCATTCTCGTCGGTCTCTCTAATGGCAGCTTTCTCTCTCTCTCTCTCTGTGCTCTTACTACTCCCTAGCTGCTACCATCCATCACGCGTTATTTTGTGGCGAAACCTTAAAGCTGCATTCCATATGAGCATCACACTCTATCTCCTGCTCTATTTTTCATGCAGC